GGGGGCACTTGCACCGTAGTCAAGTATGATACCAACTGAGCTAACGGAGCGCCCTTTGTGGGTTTTACACCCTCTTCAACAATATTATAAGTTTCATTTAGAGACATGATGTCATTTGGGACCAAGCTAGGTGGATGGGAAGCTTTAAAAACGCCTCTAAAGTATCCCTTTTTCTGCCCCGTCTTCGCAATGGCGGTTGAAGGGTGCTACTGAGTGGTAGGTCCTACTTTGCCCCACTCGTCCTCCTTCCTTCTACTGTCGGTTGTGCTTGTTTCTAATACCGGGTGCCCATTGCCGATGGGATCGGGTCGGGTCGGGTCTGGTCGGGTCTGGTCGATCGCATGACTCCCACTACGACTAGATCGGGCCGATCGCCCCACTCGATCGCCCCACTCGATCGCCCCACTCGATCGCCCCACTCGGTCGCCCCACTCGGTCGCCCCACACTAACGAACAAACAAGTTTGTTTATGAGGCGATGAGTGGGGCGCGATGGGTTTGTACCGCGATAGCCTCTTTGCGCCCTCAGTCTTGCCAGCTAACCGCCCCGACCCGATTCCCCCCAATGGACACCCCGTATCAAAACTAAACGAACGCAGTCGTAACGATGTGCTCCTTTTAACTCATACTAATGGGTTGTTTGTTGGCGGGTGAACTGGTGTGGTTTGCTCCTTTTTTTCCCTTTCAAGTGTCAAACATGTATCGTCCATCTTTCTCTCTTTTTCTTTGTATGTTAATGTACTCTCTAGTAACGCCTCTAATTTTGGGCGTGACTTATGACTGTATTGAGTTGCAAATGCTCGTTCTAGAACTAAAAACTGAATCGGGTTGTAGGAAACCAGTTTTCTTTTTTTTTTTGGTCTTTTCTTTTTACTCAGCAGTTTCGTTCCTGTCAGAATTATTTATTCTTTCGTGGCACTAAATGGCCGTTATTGTTTGTATATGTGCTTCTAGTTAACGTTTAATAGCCAACGGTAATGGGTGTGCATTCCCTAAACTAAAAAAAAAAATGTTTGTTTGACCCCACCCCCCCCAAAAAAAAGTCCCATCCAAAACTCTATTTCCTCTGCAACCTCCCCCACCTTCTCCTCT